AATTGGCTGAATCCATTGATAATTATAAAGTTTCATGGAAAAAATGAAGATCAAGTCTCTAAATGAGAACCGAAACGGTTTGTGGTGATATGTATTGGACATGGGTAGGCACCTAAATGGAAGAATCAAATAACATAGATGGTCTTCTCTTTGCCCCTCAATGTGGACTTTGCAAGTCCAAGTTGGTGAGTACCCTGGCCTTAGCCAGTTGATCAAATGCTAATCATAGGCAAGAGATAGCGGTTATTCATTATTAGTTTGTATGGGGCTTGTTAGTCCAAGCACATCCTCAGGGAGCTATTGTACTTCTTTGGGAACAAGATCACTGCTCCTTAAGTTGACTTGGATAGCTGGATCACCTGAAAATCGAAAGGGGAAAGTGAAACTTGACTGAGTCTCGTATGACTTGGCAGAGAGTAGGTGTCTAGTGGAGTTGAATCGGATATTGAGCATTTTAGCTGTGTAACTAATAGAGGCAGTTTTGTTTTTTGCTTGATCCTTTTTTCAGTACTAGAGAAATTAAGTTGTTATCCGTGAAATTGATCGAGCCGTGGTGCATGTTGTTCGCAGTTGACATAGTTTTGATTGATGAGACCCATAACGACGTCAACGCAAAATAACTTTGGGGGGATGCTCTAGAATCCCAAGTTTTTAAAATTAGCTGGACTAAGGCAGAGTATATGGAACGCAAATTTAGTAACAACAGGAATAGAGATGAGGAAGTAATTAAGACTGATGGCCAGGAAGTACAAAAAAGACCGCACTTGCGATATATTGGGTCGATAATCTTGGAAAATGGAGAGATTAAGGATGATGTTGCACACATAATTAGAGTTGGGTGGGCGAAGTGGAGATGTGCAACTGGAATTTATGTGATCGCCGAATACTAATGAAGCTGAAGGGCAAGTTCTATAGGACAATTGTGAAACCAGCTTTGCTTTATGGGGTTGAATGTTGGGCGGAAAAAAAACAATATACCCATAGAATAAGTGTAGTGGAGATGAGGATGTTGAGATGGATGAGTGGCAAGACAAAAAGGGATAAAATTCGAAATGAATCCATTTGGAAGAATTTAGGTGTGGCACCACCAATAGGCGATAAGAAAAGCGATAGTAGAGTTAGATGGGCTGGCCATGTGTGGCACCGACCAAGTACAACACCTGTTAGGAGGTGCGAGTTAGTTAAAGTGGAAGGACTTAAAAAGGCAAGGGGTAGGCCCAAAAGGACGTGGTTGGAATTCGTTCTGAAAGATATAGGGATTTATGGCCTCACTGACGGTATGGCCTTTAATAGAGCAGAATGGCATGCCAGGATTCATGTAGCCAACCCAATTAATTGGGAAAAGGCTACGGTGATGATGATGATGATGATCCATGAACTCTTTTATTGTAATAACTTGTTATAACATTAATGGTAGGAGTACACCTACTTAGGATCTCTTGTAGAAGTTCCTTGTAGTGTTCAGAAATTCAACTCAACCAAGGTAGTCAGCCCTTGGCCGAGCCAAGTGACTTGGGCAAGTTGGAGTGGACATGCTCAAGACCTGTTTAGGGCAAAAAAGCCCTAGGAAAATTCAAAAAATATAAAGAATATAATGAAGGTAGTAAAAGTAAAATAAAACTAAAACAACCATAAGAAGTCCAAATAAGCTAAATTTTTTTTGCAAAAATGGATCTAAAAAAAGCTGTTTTATAGATGGAAAGAGTTTTAAAACAAATGCAAAAAAAGGAAAAATATAAAAAAGAGTTAGTGGCAAAAACATTCACCAATAATTTTAAAAAACATCCAAACCATAAAAAAAAAAATCTAAAACGCTATGCATATATTTTTGACGTATTTTTTTTGTGTGTCTCTAGTTGTACACACAACTCGGGGCTACTCTGATCACCCTACAGCAAGTCCGAATAACTCAGGCAAGTCATAGAGCCATGATTCCCTGCATTAATGGTTTTAAAGTAAACCGATTTGTTTGTTAGTTTCCTTTAGAATCTCTATTCCTTTTAGCATAAATGATTGAGTCTGTCACTGTCGCTCATAATCGCACATAATTCGATAAAAATCCTTTATATTTCTTTATTGAAGATAAATAAAATGTCTTTAGGAGGTTGTAGAGAAATATTGAAATGACTGTAGATTTAGTAAGGCTTTCTTGGTCATATGCGACCGCTGAATGGTCATATTTATTGGAGCTGTTTGGATTAAGTGATCTGTGGGGGTTCTTTGAGGAGTTGGTTGTCTCCTTTTCCAGCATGAGGGAGGATATGCTCGCTTATCTTTTGTGTTGCCACACTCTAAGTGTGTGGATTGAGCTCAGCAATTGCACCTTTCAAGGAGCGACGACTTAGGTGGGAGCCCATAGAGATTGGATGAGAGGCTTAGTTATTTCTCAGGTGACAGATGGGCTAATGTTTTGGGGTTTCAGGACAGTGTGTGAAAACTCGGCTCGAGCTCAAGACTCAGCCCCTGCTGTAGGAGAGTATCTCAGGCGATTGGACTAGCACAAGTCCTGCATGAGCCCAAAAAAGGGCTCAGGCTCAAAAATTGCAAAAACTAATACTAAGAAAATAAATAAAATAATTGATTGTATGTGTGCATCATTTATTATATGTATGATGGAGAGAAGTATATAGAAAATGGATTATGGAAAAAACTGATATGTAGCTTGAAACAATTCAGAAAATTCCAGAAAAGGAAAAAATAAGAAGAGAGCATATATTAAAAAGTTCACAAATATCATCAAAAGAATCAAAATTATATACAAACATAATTATGCATAATTTATTAGTGATTTAGTAAAAAATACATATTAATTTTATGAATTTGTTTTTCCAGAACATATTCTGTACAGATAACTTGACTCTGCTGGGTGCCTAGGCTGAGTTACTCAGATGAGTCCGAGTTTTAAACCTTGATTCAGGGTGATTTGTATTGAAGGACTGGATGCTTTCACACTTTTGGCAGAAACTGTTCTCAGGTCAATGCTGTTATTGCCATAATTTTCCACTGGAAAACTCGACCTGACTCGTTGAACTCCCTGTTTAGATTGACCTGTGAGCCAACCCGGAGGACTTGACTAGTTCATGTAAAAAATAGAAAACATTATCCAGAACCAGAAAATATAAATCATAAAAATAAAAAATTAAACCATAGAAAACATAAAAATGCAATAATTTCCTGTATTTGTCAAAGAATAAATGAAAAGCAAAAGAAGATATTTGGTCCATTGTGTTGTGAGATGTAATAGTACATGATGTATATGTTAGTAGAAAAATGCTTTTGATGGGATGGGCAATGGAAGGGTTTTGGGGTCTTTTTATTTTTTGTTACATGCTGAAGATAAAACAAGAGTTCCCGTACTTTAGGTTTTATAAGCCAAAAGTAATGCATATTTATTGACCTAAGAAACTGAGGGAGGGAGGGAGGGAGGGAGGGAGGGAGGGCGGGTATGTCCACCTGGGATAGAGTTTATTTCGAGTTACAGTGGGGAGTAGTTTGAGTACCTTTTTAGGTCCATAGGGAGTTTGAGGACTTTTTCTGTGTATTGTCTCAATGTCATATAAATGGGATGGCCCTTTGATGATGGTTTTTGAAGATGTAATCAATATTTATGAGTCAAATAATGTTTTGCGGCATTTTTTGGAAGGTGCATATTTACGCAGGAATCAAGGCTGAAAACTGGAGTTCTTTTTCGTGATTGGTATATAAACTTGGGGAGATTGATCAAGAAGCTTTATCATCTCAAAAAGTTATATTTGAACATAGTATTTAAGAGATTCCAAATGGCACGATGTAAATTTCCTCAAAACGTCCAATGCAAGGGTGTGGCATTGTCTAATGAAACACATCTTTCAAACAGAGATGGAAGCACCAGAATGGCCAAATCCAATACACCGAGGTCGTAAGCATCTCCCTTCCACCATACCTGATTTATGTTTTCTTCGAAGGGAAAATGCCAAGTTGTTGAAATGTAGGTTATCAAGGTACTCGTCACAGTGTTCATCCCTTTCTCTCTTCCTGAATTGGCTGGTTAGCCAGATAGGAATTATGATATTCTGGGTGGGATGGAAATACAAATACATTGTAGTCATTTATGCAAGCTCAGCGTGTTTCTTGCTGTGTAGCCATGGAAGATGCTCTTTGGCTTTAATTATTTGTAAACATCAGTAATTTTATTTATTTATTTATTTATTCCTCTTGGGAGACATCCGATAAACATAAGTAATGTCTTTTGGAAGTAGTGGTGCAAGGTTCCTGCAATTGAGGTTTGGAAAGCCTTTTAGCAAATTTGGAAAAACGAAGACATCACAATAGAGCTTGTTGATTTGTTTTTTAGTAGCCATGCAACCATATGAACGATTAATGGTGGAGTTCAGTTTTGACTGGCGCACATATTTAATAATATGTTTTGGTTCCTGAACAATGCACAGTTACTATTATTATTATTGTTGTTGTTGTTATTATTATTATCATTGTATTATTATTATTATCATCATCATCATTAATCATTATTCTTATCGTTATTAATCATTGTTTAATTATTGGTCATCGTCATTATCAAGATAATTATTATTATATTTAGCTAAGATGATTGATTGCCTTAAGCTGAACTAGGCTAAAAATTTTGGTATAGTACAAGAAATTTGTCATCTGGACAGGTGTACCCCTATGCTTAGTATTATATATTCTCTGTAAGTTTTTACCCTACATTTATCTTGTTTACTTCTGTACACATTTTTTTCATTTGCATTCTGGTAAGGGAAGTTCTCATTCATCTGCTTTCATCACTGGAAGGGTAAAAAATCAGTGAGGCTAACTTCCTAATAGAGAGCACTAACGTATGCTTTATTACACTTTTGGTGGTTTGTTTTGTATATCCATTCCTTTGACATGCTCCGCCATATTACTTTAGGCTGAAATGATGCTTGCTTGATTACTTTGTGCTCTTGTATGCTAATCGAAACGTCTCTTTAGTTCAATTGCTGATATTGTTCAAACCACAGGTGAAAGTGGCCAAGAAATAGTGGCCAGGTTGGAGCGTGATATGTTTCCTACTCTTATTAATGGAGTTGTGTACTGGCCAATGTGTGATTTCATCACATTCAAATTTATTCCAGTTCATTTGCAGGTGAGTGCTTCTCTTTGCATTTCGTACTTACCATTTATGCAATTCGACGTGTGGTTAACTCAGTTAATGTGTGCTAGTCCATATTTGTAGTTATTGTGTTTTAATAATTGTCCTGTTTGTTTAAACAGCCTCTGGTGAGCAATTCCTTCTCATTCATTTGGTCAATATATCTCACTTACATGGCTGGCTTGAAAAAAGTTAGTGCAGAGAAGAGCACAGCTGATTGAGAATACCAGCATCTAAACCCAGATTTTTTGCATGCTTGGGTATTGGATGTCTTGATTAATTTATTGGGTTTTCCCAGTACTTGCTTGTAAAGTATGTTCTGAATCAGAAAATATGAAGTAGCTTGATCTCTATGATTTCTTGTGATTCGTGGGGTTTGCATGCTCCGGCTTCTTCAGCTCGAGCATAGAATTGTCTTTTACGTTATTTTATTTTTATTTTTTGAATTTTTTATTTTATTTTATTTATTATATATATAGACTATTTACTTTTGGTACAAAGTCACAATTATTTATAACCATTTGATGGGAAATTTGAGAGCTTTGGTGGTCACAAAATTCAAGAAAATTTCTTTTGAGTATTGAGGCGTGTTTTTAAGAAATAGGATAATTTAATAAAAATATCAAAAAAATAATTAGCAAGAAATAAATTGATCAAAATACTTTTGAAAGGTGTTGAGGGTATTTTGGTCAATTTATTTATTGTCAATTATTTTTTTAAATATTTTTATTAGGTGTGTTTTGATGAGAAGAATGGACATTTAAAATTTCAAAGTTATTTGAATTTGTATAAAAAAAATTAAAATTCAGTCTGATCGTCAGATCGACTCAGATTCAATTTGAGCTGTTGGGCTCATATGTTTTAATTTCAGCATTTT